ATTTGGCTGAAATAAAAATAGACATGTTATTACTCACGTCAACGCTGTGATACGGCGCCGCGATAACGTCGTCAAATTCCCACAAAACAATATAAATGAAAATAGATAATGAAGCCGATCGCTGGTGTGTATATTCGACAGTATTTGAGCAACTTATACTGATGTTAGCAATTTATAGCATTACACATAAATATAATTATTCCAAATTTCTAATTATTATTTGATGTGTTATCGTTTTTTTTATATTTCTACCAAAAAATTGTTGTCGTCCAGTTATTAATATTGAAATCTACTAGGCGACAAAAAATGTTCACTGGGCGACATTAATGTCGCCCAGTATGTTAGTTAAATTATCCACTGCATTAGCCGTCTGAGAATATAGGTTAGAACCTACTCTGATGCACCCCCTGACGAAATTCCTGGCGGCATCTATGATTGTATACAATTACATACAGTGGACGGCAGATGGTTTTTTGGGCGACCCATTTTCCACAAACTCTTCTTTAATCTAATATATTGTTATTGTATGTTTTACTGTCTTCGGACGGCTAGTACGCACGGAATGTTTTCCTTCGATATTTTCACCTTGTCGCATTGCCCCACGAATTTACCATCATTTTTATTGTGATCAAATGTATTGGTATTTGGGTATTTTTGTATTTTCGCGTAGAGATTTTTTATAGTTTTCCCCCCTCTCCTTCGTAATCTATCTCCTTGTAATTAACATGTTGCTTGAGTATAGGTAACCGCTAAAAGTGTCAAAAACTCAATGGCTTCGTGTCAGATTTCTTGTATTGATTTCTTTTTTTATTAATCGACTAACAGTTTATTAATCTCAATAATCTAGCTTTGATCGTGCGGGTTTTCAGAATTAAACGGTAATGGACCACCGCTACAGCTGAGTGTGCGAGGTGCACCGAAAAAATGCCGTATGAGCAAGCGTTATAAGACCGGTTCGTTTTGGCTGAACAAAAACAATTTGGAAATTGTCAACGGCTTGAGAACTTTAGCCGATCGTCTGTTCGATAAGGCCGACTATCTTTCGTGGCTCGATTTGTCCCATAACAATTTGACCACGATCAGTGACGTAAGTATATAGGTTATTTACAAGCGCTGGGAACTGAGGAAGTTTTTTAAATTGTTAACAACCGATTTGATTTTTCTTTGTTTTTCCGTATTAAAAATAATTTATTTACTGTTATTAATGATAGGCGCAGTAACCGAATTCCGTGACGGGCTGCTAAAGAATTTTTGAATTCCGGCTCGGGGTTGGAACAACTAGGACCGAATTCCGTCCCGGCACTTCATAATAAAGGGCCCGCGTGTGTTAGTTATTTAGGGCCCTTTCCAAGATTAATTTAATATTGTTTTTATATTTTACATTTATATTTTATATTGCTGTTACTGTAATAATATACATTATGTACATAGGTGTAAGCGCTAATTGGATACACTCAATATTTTAGCGTTGAGCAATGCAATTTAAATTCTGTTTTTTTTTATAGATGTTAGGTATACTTAATATACATTTATTTATTTTATTTACTACGCATTTGTATCATCTCTGAACTTGCGCAATGCAAATTTGTTTTCTTAAATGGCAGCTCCCCACTTTTAAGTACATATTTTTTTTTCATATATTTTTATGAATTTTAGTAGTTCAACCAATTATATTTGTCCAAAATTGATTGAATTATGAGACGGGGTGACATTCGGATGAGTTAGGGCGGAATTAGAACTCCGGTTTTTTCCTGGGGGGGGGGTCCGGATTGGAATTCAGAATCAGCCATGATAAGTGTAATATGAATACAATTTTGGGTATCAATAATAGCATGTGTTCGTACATATTCGTATAGGCAATTAATATAAATTAACCCGGTATATATTATAATTGTGTTAACTACATTCAACAAAATTATCGATTTTTAAAAATAATATTTATAAAATTGGGTAACAATCTGAGTACAAATAGGTAGTTGATTTATTTAATTAAACGAAACTTAAGTCGAAGATAGATTTATTTTATTTTTCCATTTAATTATAATAGTAATTTTACATATCTGCTTATTTTTTTTATGGAATATTTGGCGTGTATTATAAACAAATATGCAGTCTTATCTCATGCATAAGACATAAATTAAGCACCTTAAATTTTTCAATAACGATGTCTATCGCCGATCCAAATCGATGAATATAAAAAATTATAATCATTGGTTGTTTCTATTTAACGGATTAATGTAATACAATTATTCAACAATACATTTTAAACTATTGTAATGTACATACACTCGTAATAATCTTAGTAAAAATAGTTAATAACGAGCTATGATACGGGCACATTGACGATGGCGTACCTAAATCTACATCTACCGTGCAATGTTATTGTTGTTATACCATTAGTGCCGGCTCAAGGATTTGCGGGGCCTCGTGCGAAATGTATTTCTTTTATGAAAGGGTACTCCTCCTAGACGTTTATACCAAATACAACGAATTACTACCGGCACGTAGTTTGGTCAACACTAGAGCCTATTAGATATCGGTTTAAAAAAAATGAATCATGAATTTGTTACGTTCATCAGATTACTTATTTACTATGCAAGGCCCGTTTTTTTTTTTTGTTTAGCATAACCAATCTGGATTGGCCAATTTCCAGGGTCTACTAAATCAATTACTAACCACTAGGGATTCAAAAGTTCATTCACTCAAGTTTCGAACATCTGTCAATTTATTATTATAAAAATGTGAAGATAATGAAGTTTCTACTGAATTTTAATTTTTTAATAATACAGACACGTTATCCTAAAGAACGAGATCAGTTGCAGATACAAAAGATGATTTTTGTTCACATATATCTGTAGAACCATCAGAAGTTATATACTTTTAACCTACACTTTATAGGTTTTAAGGATATCAGATCCATAATTTTCTCGAGATGTAATCGACCTAAGATATTTATCGAAGGATCCCGTTTCTCGTTATATATCCCAATAATACATATTATGACCAAATTATTAAGCACGCTTGCATTTAATACATTTATAAAAATGAAAGTATTTTTGTTCGAGAGTAAAATTAAGTTTTATTTTTTGTTTGTGGAATTGTTGTAAGGTAAGCATGGGACCTGTAGAGGCATGCCCAGGATCAAAATGTAAGACAGGCCCAGTTATAATTGTTTTAATTTACATAGGTGGGCATTATTTTTTTTTCCTAAATTTTTTATAAAGTTTTTAAATTTAATTAGACAAAATTATCATATAATATAATACTAAACAATTTCTCCTGTTTGACTTGTTGATAATATTTAACGATATTAAAAAGTAAATAACAATGATGTAAAAAATTAGAATAAAAACTATGTATTTGAAAACAGCCAAGGTCTGAATCTACCCGTATCCTCTGGGCACAACTCGCCATCCCCTTGAGCCGACCCTGTATACAATGTGGACATAATTATTTTAAACACTTATTGCACACGTCGTCACATACTGCCATACTCGTGTAAGCATGCTTACATGTTAAATGAAATGAAAAAAAAATCTAGTATAATGAAACCAATTCCGTGTCTTTGATATCATTAACTTCTTATTGTACAATATTTATAATTTAATTTTTTAATAATTACAATATTTTCTTTTGTAACTGTACGTGCTTAAGTCGACACGGCATCCATGCCGAAATCTGACCATACACGTCCGAATTAAACACCGGATCTTTTACGGATGAAAGAGGGTCGCTTAACTCGATGAATACAATTTATATGATTGTTGCAACAAATGTAATTATAATAATAATATAAAAACATGCGTCGTGGACGTATTAACAAGAAAAAAAATTAGATACAATTAAGTAATAATAATAATAATAATAATAATAATAATAATAATAATAATACATATAATAAGCCCCTACGGCACGATAATTTACTAAAATATGGCACAAAAAAAAGGCGATATAATAAAATCAAGACGCCACACGTTACAAGGTGCGATGATAATACCTTAGGCGGCTGGGTGTTCGATTGGTTGCGCCCACGCGACCGCGCTTAGCACGTGCGACAAACACTAGAGCCGATGGTCGACTTCTTCGACAGCAAAGTGTAATTTGTTCACGGATAGAGCCGGTAATCTTGTGTACAGCAAACTGTTACTGGTTCTCAGCATCCGAATGTCGACTACAAAAATGAGTACGCAATGTGGTCGCACAGCAAAACCGCATTGAAAGTTGCAGGCGTACTAACTAGCATTTCGGTGACGAAGTGGATTTTTTCCGGTCTGACCATAATAATATAGGTGGTGATAGAATGTTCTCGAAAGAACTATATATCCACGCCACTGGTCAAACCGGTCGGTGTACGACAAAGTTTATCGCTTGAAAATGTTTGCGCGAACAGTAACTTTATGTACTTTTCTATACTTACAATTAATAATTGATACATAAGGTATCAACATAAATTGGTGGTGGGTCTTTTTCACATATAACTTACGGTTACTGCGACTTGATGTATTGAAGGAATCTCGTCTCTTTGACCGTTTAGCGATGGTTGATAACTTTGAAAGCTGCTGGTGACTTCTCCTGACTGCTTCTTCTTCGTGTTGAAAAAATGGGAGAACAGGGAGTGTGTGACTGCTGGTTGCCCAAGATATATAAATGTGGTGTATTCATTATTTTATATATCTGGGAACGTGGAGTCGCCGGTTGTATTGTACCTTACCGTGTATGGTGGTGTTGTAAATACCGTCCGGCTTAGGTACAATTATGAGATAAGTGGTTGTAATATTGTTACAGAGTATTTTGCCGTATAGGATGGTGTTTTTAGTACCGCCCGGTATAGATATCTGAACATACAACGGAAGGGAGAGTGTGTTGGAGTAGACACCAGTGGCCATATAAGTGCCGCATACTCTATAATCGAGTTTTTTAAGTAAAACAAATTGTATCAACTTCCGACGAACCGTTTTCATAAAGTTTGTAAAACAAGAGGTTCGTCGATTGTGTTTTTGTACGTTTAAACGAATCGTTAATTACCGTCGACCGTCGGGTTCCATAATCGTGCGGAAATAGTTGTCGTAGAGAGAGAGAGAAACCAATCCTCCCTTTAAAGGCCAAGATGATCGCGGCACAACTGATGTTCGAAACAGAAACGCTGTCGCAGGAGTTCCTGTCGTTCCCGAATATGTCGATGCTGTACCTGCACGCGAACAACATCGAGGATATCGTGGAAGTGATCAAGATGCGGAAATTATCCAAGCTGCGGATACTAACGTTGAACAAGAACCCAATGTGCGTGGCGTGCGCGCACTACCGGAGTATCGTTATTTACATGGTGCCGGGACTCCAGAAGCTGGACAACACGGTGGTGGTGGGCTCGGAACGCAACTCGTTCAAGCCGTCGATGATCAACAGGAACAT